AACTGGATGGTCTTTAAGGTCCCTTCCAACCCAAACCATTCTATGATTCTATGATTTTCAAAGGTGTTCAAAAATGCACCCGAGTTGACACTGAAACACGTGGTGGTCGCAGTCTGTAGGTTCCGATCTGAAAGTTGCTGTTAGCATTTGATACGGAATTTATGGCGATATTGAGACTGCGGACAACACATCTATTAGTAACTGTGTGGGCTTTTAAGACAGCGAAGTGATACACTGACTGCTCTGTTTGCTTGAAAGTTTTCACGGCCTGTTGAATCCACAGACACCTTCTCCATAGGCACAGAGGGAGATAAGGACAACTTTGCAGTAAAAATAACTGTACGACGTTAATTTTCTTCTTCGTTCTTTGTAAACAGGAGATCAAGATTTGCACCTTGGTTTGGCCCAGCATTGCGGGAGAAATAGTTTGGGATGTGACCTTTGCCGTTGTTTTCTTTCTGATACCAGGATTAGTCATTGTCATCAGTTATTCCAAAATCTTACAGGTATGTTTTTCCTTTCCATTTTGTTACAGAACAAAGGAAAGTAAACAGTAACTCACTAGGCATCAACATATTGTCACTGAGTACAAATACACCCAAAGGGAATAGACATCATTTGCTCAGTAAATGCTAAGTATCACCCTGTACATAGCAGCCTCCACGTTTCAACAGAGAACACGCTTGAACAGCATGTTGCCAGAAACCCAACACAGAGTTTGTCTTCATTTACAGGCAGTACTCAACACACGTCTCCATTTATGTGCTGCTCATATTTAAACACTGTCACCCTCCTAAACACTAAAAGAGTCAAGCATTTGAAATAACTAAAAACTAGATTTTGCTCCCCTTGAGCCTAAACTCCAGTCACAAGGGATTTGTAAAAAAGGCAAGAGAGGCAGGACTGTAAAAAATCCATCCTCTTTTAGAGATACTGATTTTCTCCATGTATTTTTAGTAGACTGATCTCATTAGAATACACTCCTTCCTCCACAATTTCAAACTCTACAAACAAAAACTGTAAGCTAAACACTCTTCTTCTACTTTCTTTCTGAGTGGATGTTGTTTAACTGCTGAAACATAGGCCAAGGCACCAGGCATCACAGAGTTTTAATCTATATTCTATCAAGCATGATATTAGTTGCCTAAATTCCTTTTAAAACATCTCATTTCATATCCCTTCCCCTTCCAAAAACTGAGTGAGAAAGAGCTAGAAATGGACAGGAATGGTGTTCCTCTTGTCCTTGCAGAATCCAGATTACAACAGGTACATTTAGAAAACTCAATGGCACGTAGGGAGCTGGAAGCCCAAAAAAGTGTTTGGAATACTGGATTACAAGACAGCCTGGGCTGGTTTTGGCTGGGATAGAGTTAATTCTCTTCACAGTAGCTAGTATGAGGCTATGGTTTGGATTTGTGCTGAGAAGAATGTTGATAACACACCGATGGTTTTAGTCCTCGCTAAGCAATGTTTACATTAAGCCAAGGACTTGTTCAGTTTCTCACACTGCACTGGTGTTCCCAGCCTCTTCTCCACCAGAAGCTGGGAGGGGACACAGCCAGGACAGCTGACCCGAACCGAGCAAAGGGGTATTTCATGCCATAAGGTGTCATGCTCAGTATATAAACTGGGGGGAGTTGGCTGAGGGTGATCGCTGCTTGGGGACTGACTGGGTGTCGGTCAGTGGGTGGTGACCATTTGTATCATTATTTTGTTGTTGTTTTCATTATATAGTAGTAGTAGTTTCACTACATATTATCATTATTAGTAGTATTAGTAATAATAGTATCACTATTTTATTTAATTTCATTTATTTTCAATTATTAAACTGTTCTTATGAAGCCATGATTTTCTCTTACCTTTTTCCTCCGATTCTCTCCCCCATCCCACTGGGGGAGGCGAGCGAGCAGCTGTGTGGTGCTTACTTGCTGGCTGGGGTTAACCACGACACAACCCCACGCCGCCATGCTCACGTTTCTTTTCCAACTTGGTAACACAGATGCTAAGATACGTTACCATTTCTCCTGAACTGAAAAAGGATCCCATCTGTTGTAACTGAATCTTCTCTCTCACACAGCTTTCCAGGAAGCAAGCAGAACTCAGCTGGAGAATGTCACAATCCCTGAGTCATTCCCAAGAGCAGATTCACTCTCACTTTGTGAGAACACTCCATGATGCCAGTGCACACAGAGCACAATGCTCAGTGTTACTGGAAGCAGTTCAAAGCATTCAAATAACACTGCATCCATCGTGATGATTCACTACAGATACAGGACCCCAAAATGGCTCGCAAATATACTCTACAAATGTATACCTTACAATTTAATCTGAAACTATTATTTATACGTAACACTTCCCAGAACGCTGGGGAAAATGACAGATTAGGAGCCATGATTTGTAATTAAGTTATTTGGTTTTGCACTGTTCCCCCTCTCAGGCAAGATTTAGAGAAGAGGCTAGAACTAGTAAAGATGTTCATGTTCTGGAAGTTACATACTATTACACACATGACTTCTAAGCTCCTGGTTCCCAGAGCATGGTCCAGCACTTCCTTAAGATGCAGTTGTGTCCTAGTTACTGCAGTCCTGGTGATTCTTGTGTTTTTAGTTCTAGGCTGTGCAGCTCTAGCAGGAAGGGTGGAGGTACTTACATGGGACAGATACAAAGGTATCTGATGAGGACATTCTGCAGCCGTTTTGAACAGCCTGAGGATGGTACAGAACTCAGTTTTCCCGCTTTTATATTAGAATTGGATGTCAGTCCTTTGGATTTTATGAAACCTTCATTCTTACTAAAGCAGTTCAGGTGCTCGCTCAGAGCAAGTCTTGGATAGGATTGTTTGGAGGAGTTAGCCTAATTTCTGGATTCCAAATAGGTACAGCAGAAGATCAACAGGCCGGAATAGTTTTACATGTTCAAAACATTAGAATTCTCTGCCACTTTTAAATCAGGGAAGTAGTTAGTGAGCCTGTCCCCTTAACAGGCTCAGCAGCTGAGATCATCTTTGGATCTTGATTTATACACCCACATTCTTTTGAAATCTTTAGTAGATAACAGAATCATGGAATGGTTTGGGTTGGAAGGGACCTTAAAGACCATCTAGTTCCAACCCCCCTGCCATGGGCAGGGACACCTTCCACTAGACCAGGTTGCTCAAAGCCTGGCCTTGAAGACATCCAGGGATGGGGCATCCACAGCTTCTCTGGGCAACCTGTTCCGGTGCCTCACCACGCTCTCTGTGAAGAACTTGCTCCTGATACCCGTTCTAAACCTACCCTCTTTCAGTTCAAAGCCATTGCGCATTCTCCTGACACTACCTGCCCTTGTAAAAAGTCCCCCCCTCAGCTTTCTTGTAGCCCGAAAGCGGCAATAAGGTCTCCCCGGAGCCTTCTCTTCTCCAGGCTGAACAAGCTCAATTCTCTCAGCCTTTCTTCATAGGAGAGGTGCTCCAGCCCTCTGAACATCTTCGTGGCCTCCTCTGGACTCGCTCCAACTGATCAATACCCTTCTTATGTTGGGGGCCCCAGAGCTGGACACAGCACTGCAGGTGGGGTCTCACAAGAGCAGAGTAGAGGGGGAAAATCACTTCCCTTCTCTGGATACCAGCCCAGGATACGGTTGGCTTTCTGGGCTGCCAGCACACACTGCCGGCTCACATTCAGCTTTTCATCCATCATTACCCCAAGTCCTTCTCCTCCTAGCTGATCTCTATCCACTCTCCACCCAGCCTGTACGTTTTTTTTTCCCCAACCCAGGTGCAGGACCTTGCACTTGGCCTTGTTGAACTCCATGAGGTTGGCAGTGGCCCACCTCTCCAGCCTGTCCAGGTCCCTCTGGATGGCATCCCTTCCCTCCAGCGTGTCGACCGCGCCACACAGCTTGGTGTCGTCGGCAAACTTGCTGAGGGTGCACTCAATGCCATCATCCATGTCACCGACAAAGATGTTAAACAGCACAGGCCCCAACACTGACCCCTGAGGAACGCCACTCTTAACCGATCTCCACTCGGACATCGAGCCGTTGACCACCACTCTCTGAGTGCGGCCATCCAGCCAGTTCTTTATCCATCAAGCGGTCCATCCGTCAAATCCACATCCCTCCAGTTTAGAGACAAGGATGTCATGCGGGATGGCATCGAATGCTTTGCACAAGTCCGGGTAGATGACATTGGTTGCTATTCCTTTATCCCTGAGCCTGTGACCCCATCGTAGAAGGCCACCATATTAGTCAGGCACAATCTGCCCTCAGTGAAGCCATGTTGGCTGACACCAATCACCTTGTTTTCCATGAGCCTCAGCAGTGTTTCCAGGAGGATCTGCTGGATAGGTTCTTGATGAATGCTTATTCTAGGCCATCTCTCTCTCTCTGTGACAAATTCAGAAAACTGCAGGAAGAATGACCATTTTCATCCTTACCTGAACGAGGAAGCTATTAAGTATTAGTATTAGCATTATCCTTCCTTGAGTTATTGCTAAAGGGAAATGTTACACATAAAAGTAGCAGAAGGGTCTTACACCTTTTGACTTTCCTCTAAGACAACAATTTCATCCAGGCTTTTGAAAACACCCCTTCTTTACCCATGCAGGGGGTAAAATGGCATCCCCGTTATTTAGCCTAAATGTTTGTTTGCTAAATATTTCAATTTTATTTCATTTGTATTAGATATGTGAATGTAACAGACTTACTGTGCTATGCCCACTTCGGTGAAGACAAGGATGTGGAGCATGAGATTTAGAGTTTTCTGCAAGCCATCGGGATTCAGTATTCTACCAAATGATGGATGATTCACACCCACAAATACTAGATTCCCAAGCTGCCCACAGTCTGGTTTATTCTATCAGACAGTACTTTTACAAGACACAGATTTTCATAGTACAAAAGGATCTGTAAGATTTCAGGTTAGTTCATAGAAAGCAATTCTGATTACTGACTGAAAAACTAAGTTTGCACAAAATGACATAAAATCCCATTCAGATTTAAAATGTGTCATGATTTAGTGACTGTAATAAATTCAAGCTGCTTCTAACACCTACCTTATAAGATCAGCATGGCCGTTAGAGAACTGGATCGCGTTCCTTCTTGCGCCATCAGCAGGATTGTTAACTGTTCCAGTTTGCATTTATGAAAAAAATCAATGGGTTTATTTAGACAGCACAAATGAGATCCTAATTTCAAGTTGATGGGATTTCATGAGTAATTAAGGCTCTGTTTTATGCTGACAAGTATTTATGGCTGGTCGAAAGCCATGAGAACAACCAGCTTGAATAATATTGAGGTGAGTTCACAGCTGAGAGGAAAACAAAAGCTAGTAAAGTGAGAATGTTTGAAATGGAACCGTTGACAAAAAGTGAAAATGGAATTCTGCAATGCCTTTTTTGTAGTCACTTTTCAAAATAGAAATATCATGTGCCAAGATTTACTTTTGCACTAGCAAAAATGTGTCAATTATTCTAGGTTTCAATGAAAGTTATTTTCTTCTCTTTAACTGTAGATTACAAAAGCATCAAGAAGGCGTTTAACTGCTGGTTTAGCCTACTCAGGAAATCATCAGATTCGTGTTTCCCAGCAAGACTACAAACTATTCCGAGCCCTCCTTGTGTTGATGATCTCTTTCTTCATCATGTGGAGCCCAATTATCATAATTATTATTTTAATTTTAGTCCAGAACTTCAAACAAGATTTAAATATTTTGCCATCAGTTTTCTTCTGGATAGTGTTATTCACTTTTGCCAACTCTGCTGTCAATCCGATTTTGTATAATGTTGCCCATTTCAGACGTAAATGTCAGGAAATTCTTCTCTGTTGTACAGGGAACCCTGTAAGACACGGGGCTGCTACAGAAACCACTGCAAGAAGAAGTAACCATAAACAACCAAATTTGTCTTTCATTACCAGATAATTAAAGTGTGTGCTGTGCCACACTTCAGATGTTAATGTCTACACTATCCCAGGTTGAATAGGTCACTAGGTTATAATATTATATACCAGAGAAGGAAAAAAAGATTACGTCTGTATTTTTAATTCCTGCAGGTAAAATTCTCTTGTGTTCACTGCTTTGCCTCAGTAAGATTTGGACAATTTAATCCAATGGATTGAATTCTCCACTATAAGTAAATAGATATGGCAGTGAACTTGCTGAATGTAAACCATTTGAAATAAGTACTTACTAGACAAATTAATTTCTATGAGGGTACATTCAGTTGCCATAAATGTCATTATCTTTAATGAAGTTATAGTGAACCTATATCAAGAGGGCAGATGAACCATTTTTACTCTATTTTCTACTAAGACAGATCAACTTTCTAGTGAAAAAGTACCTTCTCAGAAATTACCTGCTTTGGTTTTTTAAACCTGTTTTAAAAAGACTCTTGATTATACGCTTAGATAACTGACTTCCTGAACATAGGTTTGGGCAGACTAAGCAACTACATGTAGGAAACAAGAGGATAAACATGTATTATCACCAAGTGAATGACCCATTTGCTTCCATCTCAAAAATGTGGATATAATGTGTGTTAATTTATAATGAATAAATAAATAAATTAATGTTTACTTGTTGTGTGTAAAATGGTTCATTAAAAAGATGCATATTTTTTGTCTCCAGTAATCCTAATAAAGTTAATCAGTGATATAGAGTCACTGAAATTCCTTCCTCCTTTCTAAAATGCTATTGTGAACAATTTCCAGTATTTCCTAGAAAAAAGATAACATTGTGTTTGAAAATAAATTAAAATTAAAACAAAAAAAACCAAACCAACCACATATATTTTGGGGTTTTTTTAATTATAACTCTTCTAGTCAGAAACTAAAACTGCTAAAAAGAGAAAGATTAAATTCTTAATTATAGCCATCTGCCACCAATTCAAAATAGTGCATTAAGATAACGGTTTACCAATAAAACCAATGTCTACATTTGTACAGATGTGCATACAAACAATTTGCATCCCCTGTAATCCAAGTTTATTAAAATGTTTCATTGATTTATTAACAAGGTGAGCTACCCAGCTCAGATAAATATACTCAAAATCTAGATGAAGCCGTTTAAAAGGTTTTCAAGAGAACACCCGATCAGTGAGTTAACATTACATCCATGGTGCTGGTTTCTTTCCATAGTTTGGCATTTCCTTAAGAGCAAAATCCTGAAACACACAAAACCCAAAATCAACCACACTAGAAGAATATTAAAATATACAGCCTTTCACCAAATGTAAAATGCATACACATCTAATTTTAAATGCTCTTGGGCCCAGCAGCCTGTTACTTGAACTGATAACGCCAATACTTTGCTCCGCAGTTTATCATTCCGAAGAATTTTCAACTCGGAACAAAACAGGAATTCATCCAATCTGTTACACCTGTCCTAAGCATTTTAATACTTTGACAAACAAGGTACTGGATGGATCAGTGATAAAGGAGTTATTTATTTACTTTAACTAGCTTCAAATTATTTGCCTTTGAGAAATTATTAATTTAAGAATGTCTTTCAACAAAACAAGGATCTCGGGACCTCCAAAACTTCTAATGGCAACAGTGAGTTAGCGGAAGGAATACACCATTCTTTAACTCACAATTCTTGCTTCTAGCAAATGCTGACAGCGGATTCAGCTTTCAGCTCTACTAACATCACACTGTATTGTATTTACAAGTAGCCCCACTGTGATAGCCGCACTGGCGTTCTTCAGGCAACTTAAGCTCTTCCTCTGAGCGACTAAGTGTATCGTAGCCTGGTCCATATTCGGAAAGGAGCACCATCAGAAATGCAGTGTGAGTTACAACCAAAACCCTCATGATTTCCTAGGTTTCCCTTTTGCCTTAAAGAGCCAGTACACGAAGAACAGGTATTTTAGACGGGTTTTTTTTCCATCAAAGTAATTTTATACATCTATTAGGTTTTTTGGCGGAACTTAACTTGAGTACAGCATTAATTTATAAAGTTAATGAAAAATATTTGGAAAAAAAGGAAGTTGGCTTCAAGGCACAGGCAGAGTATGCACACAATTAGAAATAGATCCAAGCCTATTCTTGCAGCACCTATCAACGTCAGTCAGAATTTTACCACAATAACAATGGAGTGCAGGTCAGTACAGACAACTGAAGTTGACTTTTTTTACTACTAATTCTGCAGCCCTTAATAGCAGAATTAAAACTAAAGTCGCAAGGCTTCCAATGCACACATAAGGAATTGTGACTTTTGTAGGAGTTTCTGATACACAGCTTCCAATAATTTTTTTTTTTTTTTTTCTGTTTAGCTCACAATCATTGTCTCATTCCCAAACGTACTTGCTTGGCAGGAACTCTGGCTTAATGATACTGGTGAATTCAGAATCAACTAACACCATGGTAATTATGGGTCCTGATCACAGTAAGGGGAAAATTGCTGGCTTTCAGTTTCCTTTACACTGTGGTGCTGGGCTAATAAACTTTGGCATAATCCTCAATAAAAAAACCAGACAGCATTAAGGATCTGGGCTACTATTTTTCATTTACAAACAGTATGCAACTCAGACAGTCTTATCAAACACTGCATTCAACTCCTGAAATCTGAATATAAATTAGGATAGCAGACAAAGAATACAGCACTCGGTGCAACTTGCTAGATCTGTACTCCTATAGCAAACTAGAGGCAGCATGATCAACTATTTAATTGAGGGTAGGAAGTCAAAGAATATTTAAGGCTGAACTTTCAAGGGACATTCTGAGCTTTTATTTTTAAATTACACTATTTAGAGTGTAATTTAGGGTTTATAATCTGTGAAAAAAACGAGCGTTCTATTACAAAGATGTTCTGAGATATTTGAAAAAGTTACATAGCACAGTATGAATAAATGAATAGAACTGATCTTTGGTTTTGGTTTATACTTTTTTGCAAAGATTGACTTTGGCATTTATTGCCTTGTGAGCCTCACATAGTGCAGAAATAACAGAAACACAGATTCCACCATGCTGAATCAGACAAGTCCTTGGACTAGCTCAATATCCTGATTTTATAGTGAGACAGTACTTTCGCTGGGTTTGACAGAAATGCAAGAAATTGCCATAACACACACACCTCAGAGTCACAGCACAACAGCTCCATATCTACACTTTATCTTAGTTTTAATACAAAAACATCCCTAATTATCTCAGTGTTTTGTTTTCTCATCTTCAGAAATTTTTGTTCTTGCTGTACTTCATTTGAGGAGCAGCAAATGCAGCATTCAAAACAAGAAAGAATCATCAGTTTATTTAATGTCATTGTTTCTTTTCTATCCTGCCCTTTATGCAGTCATACACATCATTAACAACAGCCAATTCATTTGCATGTATGATGTCTCTTAGACTGGACTGCTTTAAATCTCAATTGTTTTTGATGTTGTCTCCAAATTCTCATTCAAGAAAAAATTTTATTTTCATTGTTGTCAGGCACTTCTTCAAGGTCACTAATCAGTATTCTAAACACCCCCCACCTTAGGAGGTCTTTCAGGTACCCTGTTATCAGCACACCTACTTTACAACATGGGAATATATGACTCTGTTTATAGATGAGATAAACAGGTGATAGAGCCACCAGAGCTGACTGTGCTCATCTGTTCTGACTTCCTTTATAATACCAAAAGTTCCTTCAGTCAATCCCATCTGACTCTAACATGTCATTTAGGAAAGCCTTTAATCTTGATTTACAGATTTCAGTGATGAAGAACATACAACAGCTCTTGGTAAACTGTTCCAAAGGTTAATGACCTTTGGAGTTAAACAAATGGCTATATATTTCTGCTCTGAATGTGTCCAGTTTAAAGTTCCATCCATTTTAATCTATTATTCCTATGTTTGCAAGTCCTTTATTATCCAATTCCCACTGCTTGTGTGGGCAAGCACAGACTTTGCTCAGGTCACCCTTTAACATCTTTCTGATGAGATCAAGGTTTTTCGAACACTCACTAGAGGACACATTTTACAAACTTTCAATCATTTTCTCTGCTCTTCTTTGAAACTTCTAATTCACTTGTGTGACCCTTTCCAGTTATGATTACCATCAAGGTGACATAGCAAGCAGACCTATGCCACACACTCCAGTCTCATATGAGTCTCTAAATTCATCTTTTGCATCCTTAGCTTAGGCACCCAAGGATCCCATTAACTCTTTTGGCCACAGCATTACTCTGGGAGCTCACATTCAGCTGACTCACCAGTCAAGTCTTCTGTAGGTATCATGTCTTCCAGAATGTGAGGGGGGTGGCAGGGACGGGTACACTACTATTTTGTTTGTCCTAAATATTCTGATCTGGCTTCTTCATTCTTTACTATTCCCCACTCTTGGTGTAATCTTTATCCTAAGTATTTTATGTTTTCTTCCAGATCACTGTTTAAAGTAGTATAAATTACCATTTGATCTTTTCTAATGTACTTATGCACAAGTGAGCTAATTAGTATCCTTCCCTGAGTTGCAAGCTCAGCCTGACTGTAACAGGGTCATACTTCCTGTACGAGGGATCTGTCCCTCTTCCACAACCCTCTGTGAAACAGTTGGCATGAGGACTTGTGAGAAAGGGTCTGCTATGAGGTAGCCTTTCCAAGACTTCTGATTTTGCTTAAAAGCCTTTTATGAAGTTTTTGACGATACTTTCTATTCCCTTCAACAACTATTTTGTTGAGAAAGGCAAAGAGTTCTGTTTTAAGAGACACAACTTCTTTTAACAGTAACTACTAAGTTTATCCTTACTATGTTTACTCATACTACATTGATTTAATTGTTTTACAACTTCCTCTAATTATTGTTTCAGCTGATGTGATATGCCACATAAAAAGCTATACACCCTAGCTCTCCTTCAGATAAGGGAAGTAAAAGTTGGAAAAAGCTCCAGTTTTCAAAAGTTAATGTTACAGCCACTAAGTAAACGACCTCATGCATTTGCAATTTCACGAACAAGAGTCTCCCAGTGCTTTAGTTATTAAAGCCTGAAATAAAATTCTTCAGAAAAAAATGTTCTTACCATTATGAACAATAACTCTGTATTTTCTGTCCAAGCAGAGGTCTATCTGCCTTTGTCTGACAATTTTCTGTGCCTCTGGAGGCAATCCCTTGGGGTCCCGGGAGAACACAAAGGAATAGCTATCAGCACAAGTGCCGTCTTCATTTAGCTGGCGGCAGGAGTAATGAAGAGCATATGTGTCATAATCTGTGTCCACTACCCAGTGATCATCATCTGGAAGAAACCACAGCAAAGAAGCAAAGGGGTTAGAGACACAAGTAAAATCTAGTAACTCTAAAGAGATTGCTGCCATAATTCTCTAAAGAAAAGAAAACGATGAAGATGATTGGTATAAATGGTAACTGATTAGCTCTTAGTTTATTCCTGTGTCCAGTATTTAATTCCATGTTTTGGGGGGAGTGTTTTTGTTAAGAAAATAAGCACATTTATCAGGGACAGCAATGGAGAGAAGAGGAAATGGTTGGCATCACTGCTTCTCTTCTTACATGGACACAGCTCAAGAGCAGCATGAAGAAAAGCTAATAAATGCCTTGTAAATCCATGCCTGAACATCATTATAAAATGTGGCAACAAACACAAAAAAGAACCATGTATTACAGCAGCTACGATGAACTACAAATAAAGTTTTCTTATCTTAACCAAAAAAAGGGGGTCAGACAGAAAGTAGTTAAAAAAACCCAGATAGAGACACTAAATGTGCTCTTGGTTATGCTAGTCATACTCACAATTACTCAAAATTGTAACTGTTTTCCTATCAGGAATGTTACTTAAACTGTATTTTTAAGGAAAAAGATTATTATGTCATTTCCACATGTGTTAAAAGTGTATTTGCTAAAAGGTCTATCATAAATACTCTTCTCAAAACAGTTACAATTTCAGGGAGTTCTTAACTATTTAGGTAGTCAATATGCTAAACACCTGACCACAGAGACACACTGTGCTAACCAAAGTGAACCCAGGTGTTTGCAGTAGGAAGTGTCATCTCAGCACCTTCCTCTCCCTTGATCTCCCTTGCATTCTGGCAGTGCTGCTGAAAGCAACGCTCCATGATCTCTTCCCAGCTTCTCCTGTGGGTGGGAACCACAGTCTGGGGTCAGCCAGCAATCTCAAGTACCCATGAAAGCGTGATTCAGCAGCATGCTGTGAGGAGATTCGGCAATAATTCAAGAGCAATTGGCATCCAAAGCATTCTTTTTAAGTGTGTTTTCGGAGAATGGAGCTCCAATCACTTCCAAACTCCACCTGCTTCTTTTGGAAGCAATCCATGGAAATGTCTTGAGCTACAAATGTCTGAATACCTACTTGGCTCAATAAACTGATTCTGCATAGGGTGTGACAGATGATGGGAAAATATTAATATATATACAGGGTCGTATTTGTTTCTTAAACCACAGAAATGTCTGCATTTGCAGACATGAGACCAAGGAAAGTAACAATTGCAAAACCCTCTTCCCTGCTCAACCAAGTCTGACATTAGGCTTTTCAGAGAGATTAGAAGCAACCGGTTAACTGAGTTCTGAACTAAAACAAGACCTAAAATACTTCATCTGCCTTTCATTTCTTTCCAAACAGTGACCTTTGATTATACTGTTGGTAAACAAACAAAAGAAATACAAAGATATACAGAGGCCTGGTCTTCACTTGTTTAAAGAAAGCCAGCCAGCTGTTCCATATAAAAACCAGTGATTGCCTTGTTGACGTTAAGGCTTTCCTGCACCATAGTTACTACATGTTTCAAGTGTGTTTTAAGAAATCCAACACTACTTTTTCCATCCCCAGCATGGACATATGACATAACTAGGCTCCCAAGTAGTCCTGCATCTTCTATAGCTAAGTACTCACTTCCTTTCTGCAGAAAAGAGGCAACACCCCAGTACTTCATCTTGAACTTGGCAGGATCCTCTGTGTCAGTGAAAGAGCCAATCATGTCAGCACAGACATCCCAGTTACTGTAGCCAGAGAGAAAGAAAACATCACATCAACCTAATGGCACAGATTCGGCCTGACTGTGACTAGCACAGGAACAGCAGGTAGGGTTACAGCACCAGTCAGCAAAGCACAAGCAGAAGCTCACTGAAATTGGAACAAGAAGAAGATTGAAAACAACTTACTTGAAGAGCCTGACTCTGCCCTTTGCAGTGGCAGTCATTTGTCCATTCTCGTCTACGGTGAACTGGGCTACCACATTATCCTGCAGAAACAGCCCCTCGGGGTCTTTTTTTGCCATGGCATACCAGGTGCCACTGTACTGCAAGGAAATCAGAGAGGCTGCGCTTAGACCTAGAGGTATGGAAAACATCACAGCCATTCCAAACTAGGGGAGGTGACGGAGAGGAGGGCATGCAGAGCTTTGACACCGTGCCTTAAAGTTGTATCTGAGAAGCAAATCTAGCTGTTCCAACAGCAGAAATACACCAGCATGTCCTAGTGCAGCCAGGGTTTGTGAAAGAATTGTCAGGGTTTGGTACCATATTTGTATCTGCATTTCTCCAATATTCAGAATAAAAATCTGGCGGCAGATCTTGATAGATCTATGTATCATTGCAATGATATCTGAAAACAACAGAATATTCATTTTTCCTAGAAACAACCAAGTCACTACACTCCTTTTCTGTTTAGACCATACAGTTTGAGACTAAACCTCAGTTTCTGCAGTACTCCTTAATCAGATGCACCAGGATCCAGCATCTGTGGAGATATGGGCTACATCACACACTTCTGCTGTTTCTCAGTATTGCAGTCTGTGACTTTGAGTGAAAACGTGCTACTGAACGCCAGATTTTGTAGCCTAGGAAGAGGAGATAGGCAAGACATCACAGATCCAGGAGAGAAAGAAGATTTACCCTGGTCTTGTCGAAGTTCTCCTTGACTTTGAAGCTGCTGACTCGGCAGTCCCGCTCCGCCGTGCTGCTGCCCAGCAAGGCCAGTGCCAGCAGCAACAGCCAGGGCAGAGCTCTCTCCCTGTGGGCCATTCCGTTCCTGCAGCAACAGCAAACAGAGAACAGCATCTGAAATGGGCTGTCACACAAGCGGGAAGGTTGCCCTGACAGGTTCCCCAGGGCATCGTGCAGCTTTCCCTGATGCATACCCGGCTGTCCCCAGCACACCGCAGCAGGGTCCCTTACAGGTGGTGCTGGCCCCTGTCGCCTCTTGAGAGCCCAAGTGTTGATGGCAGTGGCAGGACGCCCAGACAGGGAATGATTTATGTAGTCGTGGGGCTTTCGCAACCCCCTGAGGTACAAAGCCAGCATTGGAGGGGGAGTAGGGAGGCGGGTTGGTGCATGCTGTAGACTGGGGCCCCTTCACAACAGCCTCTTGCGTAATGCCCATGGGCTCGGGTGGTCTTTGACCCTGACCTGCAGCCAAGCAGGCGCTAGGAGCAAATGCCTCTCTTTGGTTTTCCTAACCCAAACGGAGAGCTCACATCTGCGGGAAGAGGTGCGCACATGTGGGGAAAACAAAAGGAAAAGAGAGATACCCCATCTTTGCATGGGAGAGAGTAAGCTGCCTCCACCTCCTCTGTGATTTTACACACCGCAGTCCAAAGTCCTACTTACCCAATGTGCTCAACCCAGTTACAAGGTGCAGATTTGTTTCTTCCACCTCCTCCCCGAATTCCTTTCCTCTCTTCCCCTGATAAACAGTGGCAAACACCATACTCGCAAGTTTCTGCTAATGTTTCTGAAAGCCTGGTCATGCCAGAACCTCTTCAGGTCCTCACTACTGGTTCCCTCTTGCTTCCCAAAGGCTGGCTTGTTTGCTGAACCATCTCATGATCAGCTCCCAGGGACAGAACTCAGGCCCTGCAAATCTTCAGGAAGGCAAAGATCACTTCTGTGTTGTACTCAAAGGTAGCAGAACGTATGTGTGGCCTGCAAATACCCAGGTGTGTGTACGCACCACATATGGCCCTCTTGACATCGATTTTAAATCAGAGCTTCCAGAGTTTCTGTTACGTTTTTGGCAAACTTTTTAGTTATATAAACCATCATTTTTTTCTCCTATCAAGGCAAGTTTTGCTGCCTCTCAGTCAATATTTGTTCTATAGTTTCAACATCTTTAGGAAGCATTAGAGAAAACCTGTTAATTATTTTCTAGACATGTAACAAGAGCAGGGTAGGAATGATTGTTACCAGGAGAACTAATTCACCTACTTTTTCACCTCCCAATTTTGAAAGAACAAAGGCAGAAGCCTGTTAGTTGAAAAGTCTGTTCATTAAGAATTAAGCAAAAATAAAATTTAAATACGGAGATACCAATGTAGTATAAAGAATACTTCAATAGCAGCTGATGTACAGAACTAAAATAATTTATTCAGCATGGCCTTTCCCAGAAATTTATTTCAGCCTGCCGTTCCTTTCATATATTCACAAAAATATTAAACTTCTTACTGTTGCTGCCCTTTACAATCTTTTTCAAATGTAATACAAACAGTGTCACAGTCTGTTTGATTTATCTGTCATTCTTTCTTTTCTGCTTTGTGTTGGAGACTTTCTGCATAGAGAGTATGTTTTTTGTTCACTTTCTCAAACATCAAATGCTCACTAGTCTTAATATATGAATTCATCATACTTACAGGATCAAAATCAACATGGATTTTCTGTGTTCAGTGTCTCACATGACTGATAGTAAAAAGAGGGAGTATAGTTTAATTTATAACCTTTAGAGCTATTAATTTCTGTAATACTAAATAAATCAAGTATTTCTTTATCCTCTGCCAATTTGTGAAATGTTGTTATTTCTCCTAAGTTCGTCCTTTTCAAAAATCTGTATACTGCTTTATTTATTTATTCCCAGAGAGTTGTTTTCAGGATGAAATCTGTTCTTATATAATTTTGTCAATAACTTAGTTATCCCTGAAAATTCTGTGGTGGAGGCTTTCAAAAGACTCTACAGTCACTCATCCAAATGAACCAAAACCTGATGAGAATTGACCACCTCTGAAAATCTAGGTCAGCAGTCCCATTACACTTCCTGCAGGCTGTCCTCAGCAGTTTACAGACAGAACAATCCAGGTTTCACTGGAACAATAATTTTTAATAAGATCATTTCTAAATACATGCAAGAGCCATTACCGTCTCTTAAATTTTTAGGTAAAAGGCTGCTCTGTTGTTAGTTACATGTAGATTGGGAGTGTAGTGATGAAGGGATAGAAAGGTGCCAGCAGACTAGCATCGTTATAGCAATTTAAGGGTGAATTTCTCCTCAGTCCTAACAGATGTAGCTATGCCAGCGCAACTATGTAAACTCATAAACAGTGTAAACTTTGCCTCAGTTAATTATCATTTGGATTCACTTGGGCTGTGGGTCTTGTTGAGAAATGGTGCCAGCAAGTGAGCCTCATCCAGATCGTTGGAACCGGGATATACCCCTTGCAGATTTGTACTTCTCATGCAAACAAAAAGGAACAGAAGATGGGCCAGGATTTCAACTGATTGAGAGCAATGTGCATAGATCAAGTCAATAGCATCAAATAATTGCTGGGTTCTGTGAAATCTCAATTAAATTTAAAAGAATTATTAAAATATTGATAACACACAAACATGCAAATAACATCTAATGTAAAGCATACATTTCCAAAATTTGTGCTAAGTTCAACACCAAGGTTGATAAATTTTATATATGACTTCCCATTCTGATGTTTGAAGCTGGCAGCATATTTTGAATATTATAGAAAGTTTTTTAAAAGTCTGTATTTTTTTGGACCATATTTAATTGGAGGGGAAAAAAGTCTTCTACCTTTGAATTTTGCCAAGAGGCCAAAAAAAGGGGCTAATCTCAGGCAGTGGTCCTGTGATTGAAATATTTTTTACATTAATAGCCTGTAAAATTCTGCAGTATTTTTCATTAGGAGTAGCAACAGAAAATACACAGAAAAGGTCAGATTTTGAAAGGAAATGACAGAAAAAAGCTTTCATTGTAAGAGTTATTTTAGTTCATTTATGACTTTATAATAAAAAGGAAGAAACGATAGTCAAATTACTATTTAAAATGTTTTTAACACTGCAACTGAAGCTTTAAATGTTAAAAGGATTAGAAATGTATTTGTGGTCACAAGAATAAGACTAGCTTTTAGGACAAAGCTGGCTCAAAGAACTGGCAATAGGAAATGGAGCATCCATTTCCAGCCAAGCTGCACATTGAAAGACTTTTTGCTGCCTTCTTATGGTTATTTATTTATAGAGTGCCATTCACAAACATTGGTTTCCATTAAGCTCTTAGAGGCAGATTCTGCAGAGGAATGAATGACTGCTGTGTGCACAGAGCAGCGGAGCCAAGCGTAGCCGCTGCCCTGTGGAACTCCCACAACAAATGGCACGAGTTGAGCCAAGGAGCTCCATGTACTTTGTAGGGGACAACTATGTACACTGTCACCATCACAACGGTTCCCCTTGGTGGCACTCTGAGTACAGAGGTCAAGAACAGAATGGAATTGAAGGACTGGCCTTTGCACCACGCCAGCCTGTGTGCTACCTGTTTTTGTAATGCAATGATGTGACATTTTGCTTAAGGAGTAAATTTACACTGAGCTCTTTATAAACAGTATTTAAACAAACCTAGTTTAAAATGTTACCTTATGCTCTTTAGCAAACCTTTGTGAGGATTGTGATTCTGAATTAAAATGTTTTTCTAGATGTATTACTAAAATGGAAACAACTTGAAACAAAGATGTAAAATTTGCCAACAGGCTGAACAGTCTGATGAGGAGAGATTTAAACTATGAATGATGAAAGACATGGACATACTGGAGCAACTCCAGCAAAGAGCCATGAAGATGATGGAGCAATAAGAGATTATGGCAAAAGGTGAGGCTGAGAGCGCTGGGGCTGTTCAGTCTGAAAAGGGCTTGGCAGGAATTTAGCAAGCAGATACAGTAAATCAAGTAAAATCAAGTAAATCAAGTAAATATCTGGCAGGAGGGTATGAAGAAGACAGAGTCAGACCCTTCTCAGTGGTGCTTAGTAAGTTCTCAGTAATAAAAAATGGTCAGGTAAACAAAGATCACCAGGGAGCAAATGTGAGAGTGGATGAGATTCAAGGCCAGGCTGGATGAGGCTTTGAGCAACCTGGTCTAGTGGAAGGTGTCCCTGCCCATGGCAGGGGGGTTGGAACTAGATGGTCTTTGAGGTCCCTTCCAACCCCAACCATTCTGTGATTTTATGATTCTATGGTATTTCTGAATATTAATTTCTTGGATTATACATATGAATCTCCAAGGTCCACAGAGTGCCCACAAAATTCTCCACATGAAAAGCCATACAACTGAAATAAACACATTTGATCAGTTTCTTCAGAAAATCTTAACTGAATGAACCACATTAACTTCTGTCAAGATGGACAGAGACGCTCCGATACAAACACTGAGATGAACTGGGAAACCTTGTAAATACCTTTGACATTTACGTGCTGCTTGAATCTATTTAAATAACCACGTCTGTCAGTTATCCTTCTTAGGAGTTTCCATGTATCACAAGGGCTCAGGAATGGCCTACTACTAAGAACTACTCCGTAAATAGTTTTATTTCTGTAGTAACTATGAACGTCAAAGGCAAAGACATCATATGTATTAACATCACAAAACACACATAGTTCTGATATTCTCTGAAATTAAAACAACTTGAAAAATACAGCACCCAGCTCATCAGGTTTTTAAATCAAACCATCTCAGCATGGAAAAGAATCAATGTCAAATGCATTTTTTTTTTCCTTTAAAAGTGCAGTGAAAATGACTGTAGGGTTAGTCTCCGATGTTAAACATTCATGCATATAACAGGTCCTACATTAAAATGCATTTTCTTAATAGGTGATCTTATTAAACAATTGCTAGGAAAGATGATAAGAAAATCATGTTTGAAAGTCCCAGAAATGTGATTTGTTGGCTTTTTTGAGTTTCTAATAATAAACCTAAATACAAATGGGAATTAGCATTAATAGAGATACTCTGTTTGATAGCCTGGAAAATGAAAGTGAAAGAGATAGAACAGAAAATAAATGTGTTATTCCAGCACAG